GCGCCCTGTCGCCATGTGGCCCTCCGGAACATGGCGGCGCCATGCCACGTGGCAGAGGGTTGCAACATGGCGACTGTTCCCCGCGCAAGCTGGAACAATCACGCGACCTGCTGGAAGGACATAGCGAGCGAGACCTAGTATGGTGGGCAGGCGGTGAGAATGCTGTAGGGGATACAGAATTCTCAGGAGAGGAAGTCGGAGACTGTGAGGAAGCGCTAACAGAGGGATTAAAGCTGCTGGGAGAGTTATGGGTCCCAGGAGAAGGCGGGGGAGAGGATGGAACATCGGGAGATAACTGCGACACAGAGGGATTAGAGCTGCTGGGAGAACTATGGGTCCTGGAAGAAGGCGGAGAGGGAGACGACCGTACAGTGGGAGGTATCTGCAATGGAGAGGAATTAGAGCTGCTGAGAGAATCAGGCACAGGGGGAGGAGAAAGCGGTCCGGTGGGAGGTAACGGCAGGGAACGAATTTGGTGGTAGGCAGGCGGCGGCTGGGAAAACAATGGAGGGCAGGACGGAAAAGTTTGTGGCGCAGTAGACTTAGCTAAAAGTATCTCAGCGGGAGCACAAGACTTAATGAGAGATGGGCGTGTTCTCAGAATAAGAAAGGCTTGGACATAAGGGAGTTCCAATAACTTGTTGCCAGCTTGACAAAAATCATACAAGTTCCTGAGAATGCAAGGGTCAAATGTTCCTTGCCGAGGCCAAGGCTTGCCGATAAGTGGGTAGGTTGGCCAGACCTCCTGGCAGTAAAAAGTTAGTTGTTTAGTTTTTATGGTACCTTTAATTTTTAGAGTACGTAAATTGGAAATTAGGCATTTTAAAGGCGTCTTTTGGGAGTTAGAAAATACGTTCCCCATGACTGATTCAGGTAAGAAAAAAAACCGGAGGTCCAGAAAAAAGTCGTCACTTATTTGTGGTACCACGCGGCGGCTACGGTTCCAAACCGTAAACTCCAGTCGTCACTGAGAGATTTACGAATGGAGTCTACGTGGGGTCAGTAACAGTTTTGCCCGTGAAAGCGCAAGGCTTTAAGGGAAGTGAGGCATTCTTTCAGTGTGGGCGGTCCCAAAAATCTCTGCTTTGGGCTATCCGAACCCAAAGAACGTGAGAGATTTTGTGGGCGCAGGTTTGCCCAGAAAGAACCCTGCCCTGGGCGGTCCTAAGGACGTGAAAATGCACAGACCCACGCAGACGGGGAGAACATTCCACTGGGGCTGCCCAGTGCGAAAAGTTCTCCGGGGAGTGCTCACCTGAAATCAGTCTGGCCGATGCGGAGTGCAGGCGGCTGGCGACAGGAACGTCTCGGGAGAGGAAAAAGCTCGGGATTAATCCAGGATGTTATCTGGTTATCGGCTAGAAGACTTTGGGTATGTGGCCCAACAGTCAGTTGCCTGCCGATAGAGTCACGGCAACAAATGATAGAGTTATTTCCAAAAGATGAAAAATATTAACAAAAGATGAGAAATATAAAATAAAAAGCGGCCTTTATTCTGAGAACACGGAGAGAGATGACCGGCAACCCCCACCGCTGGCGTCCGGCGATCTCTCCGGCGGACACGCGGCATGGGGGCCTGTAAATAGCCTCGGTTTGGGGTGGAACCTAAGGCGGGCATTAGGGATACATAGGTAGCCCATTGGTCCTAGGTTTGGCGCCATATGTAAATTCCCAGGGGCGGGAAGATGGTGTCACAGGTAACTTCCTAGGGGCAGGGCAAGATGGGGCTTCCTGCTTCCGGTTGTGGCTTTCCTGGCTACAGTGTCCTGTCTGGGCCAAACCTTTCACTTGCAACTTCCCGACTGGACTGACTTTTGTTATTCACAATGAACCTGTTTGGGTTCCACTCAAGTTTGTGCTAATAAAGTGACTCAGGGTGAGGCCTGCAGGTATCCTCACTAGAGGATTGCCAGCTAGAAGATGGTCTCTCAGCCCCGTCTCCAAACCCACGGGGAGCATAAGTAGTAGGAGATACAGAGAATGAACTCTTTAAAAACTCTTGAAGAAGGAAGTTTGGAGAGTTTCTGGGGTGGTGACTACCTGCATGTATTGTCAAGCAGGTGACAATGGGTACCAGGAGCTCCTGTACTTGGGACCCTTCTAGAGTGTGCTTATATATGTACCTCTCATTACCTACTCACTTGTGTCTTTTCTAGTAAACCAGCTGATGTAAAGAAAATCCCATGGGCCATTCTAGCAAATCAGGAGGTGAGGCGGAGGAAATCCCTGGTCAGAGCTCTTCAATCAGAAGTATGGGTGTCCTGGCCTTGCTGACGGCATCTGAATTGTGGGCAGAAATGTGACCTTAGACTTCAGCTTGTGAGGTCTGGGCGAACTCTGGGTGTGGAGTGTTGGAACTGAGTTGAGTTGTAGGCCCCTCAGCCGGTATCAGAGGATTGGGTGGTGTTGGAAAACATCCCACTAAACCCACCTCAGTGAGCTGCCTATGTAGCAGGGGGTAGAGATGGAGTATAATCATGGTAAGGTGACGGGCTTGCTGAGGGGAGAGGGTGAGGTGGCCTGGGAGCCTAAAGCAGAGGGTCCTACCCTAACAGGAGATGGAAGACATGTCCCTGAGGAAAGGACTTTCAGGAGAGACCCAATGGGTACACAAGGGTGGTCTCTGCAAAGAGGGCAAAGAAAAGGCTCCAGGGACAGGAACTGGACTACTGGGAAGGGGAAGGGGGAGTGGGGGAGGTGGTGGTGACTGAGGCTGGAGGTCAGGTGGGCCTGAATTTGAAGGACACCTAGACTAGGTGAGACAAACATAAGAAGAATCTTAACCTCAGAGGGCTCTATGCAGCTCACAAAGCCTTTCGAACCCCTTGTGGGTGTTTCCTTTTCACATGCCACTGAAACACATTTATTCCCTCCTTCAGCCAGGGTGAAAGTAAGCAATTGCTCTCTGCCAGGTGCTGGATGAGGGAAGGCAAAGTGCTATCAGACACCTCCTTACGCTGAGGGAGAGTGTGGTTTGCTCACAAAGAGAACCCTAGTGGCTGTCTGTCATCTCCTTGTGAGAACAGCTCTGCTCATAGAGGCTGGGGGCAGCTGACTCCACCTCCCTGGAGTCACATGAGCAGGGATGATCACGGTGACTGGCTGAGAAATAAACAGATGTCCTGAGTTCAGCTACTGACTTTCTCCCCAGGATTTTGTATGGAACAAAAGAGGAAGACCCCACCACCTGAGGCAGCAGATAAGGACACTGAGACTGGAGACCTAGCAGCTGCCTTTGTCACCTTGTAAAAAGATCTGAAATTACAGCTAACACAGAAGATCTAGGACAGCCAGTACCAGAGTGCGATTCTGTCTCTTGAAACGTACTGTACCTACGTCTGTGGTAGTTGTGAGGTTTTAGTCCTGAGTCCTGATCCTCAGCACTGGGTCTGTCCTGTGCCTAGGCTCAGCACACAGCTACACACGTGCTCAAGACAGGAAGCTGATGACGGCTTCAAAGCTACTTTCTTTGTTGCAGTTCATTAAAGTGGGTATTTGTTTCTCCCCTAAGAAAGAGTTGTGATGAACATAGCCAGTGGGCAGGTCACCCGCTTTACAATGATGTGGTGATTCCAGGGTTATAGGAGGAAGAGGAGGCGGGAGGGCACACTGCGCAGGCCTGGAGCAGCAGATGCTGCTGGGCCTTGGCTGAGCTCCTGTACACTCACTCTGGATGTCACGGCCACAGCAGAAGGTCGTTTCCATGCAGTATCAGCTTTCTGCCTCAAGCACATGTGTAGCTGTGTGCTGAGCCCACACACAGAACAGACTGCGGCACTGAGGAGTTGGGACTCAGGACCAACCTTCAACAGAGGAGGACAGGGAAGAAAAATAAAAATAAAAACAAGTACAAGAAAAAGAAGAAGAACAAGAATAGCAGCAGCCTCTACAATAGAACAGGCAAAAAAAAAAAAAAAAAAAAAGGTTGTGGAAAGAGAATGGGGGAAATGCAAGAAGAAAAAGGAAACAGAAAAAAAATCAAGAAAAGGAAAAAGAACAAGAAAAAAGGAAAGAATGTGAAAGAGGACAAAAAGAGTAAATAGAGAAAGAAAACAAAGAAAAATGAGATGAAAAGACAAAGAAGAAATCAGCAGGCCAAAAGGACAAAGCACACAAGATAAAAAAGAAAAACCAAAAAAAGAAGAACAAAACAAAACAAAACACAAAAAAGAAAGAAAGTGAAAAAGAAAAACACGAAGAAAAGGCCAAGGCTATAGTCAGAGTGTCCGCTCCCAGCTCCTGGGTGGAACGAGGCGGAGGCCTGGCTTACCTGGTCCTTCAGAAGTTTCCTGGGGCACCTCTGGCGGCTCTCCTCCTCCCCATCACTTGGGCTCCTGGGATCAGCCCCTACATGGACCCTTTGCACCCAAACCTTTACTTCAAAGTCTACAAGGAGTAACTGAGATAGACAGTGAATATCTAAATTGAATTAAAAGTACTTATTGTAAAGACACATTTCTAAGAATGACAGGAAAAGTGTGTTCTAAGTGTGTTGGGGGGTGAATAACAATGTGTCTTTTATTGCAACAAAATTTATGTTAATGGTCACCATATTTTCTGATCACACCTTATACTTTTGGAGAACCCAAATTCAGACATAAGAGCTTTGAAATCAAGCAGTTCCGGTTTAAATCCCAATGCTGGAGCTGCCTGTGAGGCTGGAACAACTTCTCAAACTTTACTACCTTTCATTGTCCCCATCAGAATAGAAAAGAATTCACCAACCTCATTAAATTGTGAGGATTATGAGATTCACAAAAGCACTCTTTTCTTAATTTTATTTTTTTAAGTTTAAAAAAAAATCATTTCTTTTTCTCAAAACAGAGTTCACTGTGTAGTTCAGGCTGGCCTTGAAGTGACAATGTAGCCCAGACTGGCCTTGAACTCCTGGGAATCCTCCTGCCTCAACCTCCCAATCGCTGCAATTACGGGCATGCACTCCACTACTGACTCACATAATGCACCCTTAACAAAAAAAGTGCTCAGTAAATATTGGCCATTGTTCTTTTTATTGAATGTTGCCTAAGCACAACCAGGGAGTCTCCATGTGGGTGCTCCTTGTTGCTCCTGAGGGTTAGGCCTTTGAAAAGCATAGCACATTATTAACAGCATTTCTTTCATTTTCTGCAGAATCTCTCTTCCAGGCAAGGACCATGGGATTGACTGATGAGAAAAGGACTCTGGAGGGAAGGCTGGGATGAGGGAGAAGCACCTCAGGCAACACACCAGGAGAACTTCGCTGCCCTCATGATCAGGAGCCTGTTCCACACACTGGTGTCTGGTGCATATTTTTGCCTGGAAACCTGCACGACCTCTGGAATCATTTGAATTTTGTCATAAACGTTGGGCACAGATCCCCGTCATCTGATAGGCTGTAGACCTACTTCAAAGTAACAGAAAAAGAATACTGTGAATAGTCCCTCAAAGCCAATGTTTGCAGCCAGTATCCCAGTCTCTGATATGTGTTAGGTGACCTTGTAAGGCTGCCACCTAGCCCATAGCCAGCCTGATGAACAGAATGTCACTGTGCCTCTAGGAATAACTAACAGCCCAGGATCAGTGGCTCTATTCCAAGATTGCCATCCTTTGCAAGCTATGCATAAAGCAAGTGTCCCACTTTCTGGGCCTTCTGGTCTACCCACCAAGCCTTACTTATAAAGTGTGTGGCTAAATGCCAACTCTTATGGCAGATGGTCAGGGACGTCTTTCAGGAGAAAAGAAGATATATTGGTGGCCAGGGCTTGCATGTAATTTCTGGCACAGATATATTGCTTGTTGCAAATCCCTGCTTCACATGCATGCAAATGCTATATGGAGATTTCAAGGCAGAGTGGTATTTCTTAAAGTAGGTTCTATACAAAAATAATAGACATCACATGCAGATAGAATTCTGTGATCAAATGTATTAGCAGATCAACTTCTCAAACTCTTATACAACCATGCAGTGCAAATGCTCAACATGGGAATATTTATAATATCTACAATACTGACACATCTTATCACTGGTATCTCCTGTGGCTGCTGCTGGGTGGAATACACTTTGAGAAATGTTGTGGCATATAACTTCTTGTTACTACATATTTTTCTGACCATGGCAATTTGGGGTTTAAGAAAACACTAGTTTGTCAAAGTTAAGGGGCTGGGAAAAAGCAATTTGAAATCACTACCAAGATAGCAACTCAGTGTCCCTCTAAATAGCTGATACCAAGAAATCAATGGCTGGATTATTGTCAGTGTGCATTCAGAGCTGAGCTTTTCTGGCTTCATTGCTGTTTGTTTATAGATCAAGCTGTTTTATTTATACTTTCTCTTTTTGAAGCACAACAGCCTTTAATATTCTAATATTCTATCATATCACCTCAGTGTCTTTTCAGATGAAAAAATCAGTTGCTGATTCATTACTAAGTCCATCTATCTTGTATCTACCATGTTCTGGCCCTTAAAGAACACAAACTTGAGTGAAACAAAGTTCCTATTTCTTTTGTATCTTCTGTGCCAGCCCAGTCTGGTGTCTTTAGCCATTTATGTTCCAGAAAATGTTACAATAACACGTTTATAGGTAAAAGGAATTATTTGGAGATGAGTGGAGTAACTAACTGCTCCAATTTTGTAGAGTGAGAAACTGTTCTAAGGAAGAGGAATAAAAGAAGAAAATCACCACTTTACTTTGGCTTAATTTCAGTTCTTGGAAGTTCTTGGAAAAGGTGGCATATTAAAAAATCTAAACTAAGGACCACTGAAACCAATCTCAAGACAAACTATTCAATAAAAGTGTGAGGATACAGTCTTGGAAATGATAGAATAGTGGATAAAGGTGGCAACTTCAACCAGTAGCTCAGAAGAAGTAACTCTGGGCATCCTCAGCCTCTTTGTTCGTGACAAAGACAGCATCTTTTGTTTCCAGTTCCCACCATTGGAAACTGCCAAGCCAGGATCTCATTATAATCTTGGCCCTTAAACAGCACAGTTCATCCAGTGATGACAGCGTTTATGAACAGAAATTAGGCCTTGGACCAAGTTTGTAATAAATTATAAGCTTCATTACATAGGTGAGGAAAAAGGATCAACTATTGACTGACATTTGCCATGGAGCGAGAGGACAGCTCTGTACAGCCACTTCAGAAAGTGTGCATTGTCAATTTTGACTGAGTCACAGGGTGATTGTCTTTGAAGAAAGCTGGACAGAAGGAGGATGATAAAAGCCAAAGAATAAAAAAGGTGGGCAAGCAGGGGGGGGTATTCCTTCCATTCATTGCTCCATCAAAGCTAATGAAAGGTTAGCATGATGTGATGCTTAAAAAATATGAAAATAAAAGATGGACTTACTTGACTATTCAAGCTTAATTAAGATCTATGTAGAAAACTGGAGAGTTTTTCCTCTTATTAAAATTAAAATGAACAAGAGGCCTATTTGTTAGGATGTGTCCTCACTATGGTTAAAAATATCTGAGTTGCTTATATATAAAATATCAGGTAAACCATTTGCATTAGTGTGGGCAACAAGAAACAAACAGAAGAGGGAGAAAGAAATGAGAACACAGCAGTAATAATAGACTTGTACTTTTGAAAGCACTCAGAGAACTTCAGATTCAATGCAAGTGCCTCTGCCAAGGACTCATGCAGCTCATCCATCAGCAGCTTGCTACCACGTCCAGAGGAACGCCTCTAAAATCTGCCCTTTCCTTGGTCTTCCGTGCCAGGGTTTGTGCTGTCCTCACCTCTTAATACTGTAGCCAAACTCATGTGGCCAGGAAGCTTCATTTGGCAGCTCTGTGCTGCCGCCATGCTATGATCCACCTCGTTTGATCTTGCCTCTTATTCACGCGTTCATGTTTGTCTCCATCTGTAACTGAGGACAGTACAGATAACTAATAAGGTGACCTTGCTTGGCTTAAAAAAGGAATCTCAGCTGTGCTCTTGTTTCTTTGGTGACCTGCTAAGGCAGATAGGCTCAAGGGTGTCTATAATTTTCTTTTTTGAAAGACCTAGAATCTTTTACTTGGATTTGGTGTGAGTGCCCAGAATTGAGGAATTCTAGGTCAGGAAGAGGAAGATGGGTGGCTGTGCTTTTCCCTGGTTTCATGGACAGCTAGCCATTCTAAGAGAGGAAAACTGGTCGAGTTGTTTTTGTAAAGTGAGCTATGATGCTGGGGTATGATTGTAGGCTGGAGCGTGGAGGTGAAATACCTAAACAGTACTGCTTAGCCTACACACATGCATGGTGATAGTGTATTACAGAACAGGGTAGGGAGGTGCATTCCCTATTATTACAGAAAGCCCAGCTTCCGTCTAGCCTCACAAAGCCTGGTAGTCCTAGAATCGTAAGTGTTTTGCATTTTGGATTTTTTCCCAGATTTTAGAATATTTGCATATGCATTATTGACTTATACAGATTTGGATTTTTGCATATCTTGCAAAATCTAAACATAAAATTCACTTATGTTTCACAGCCTGAAGGCAATTTTATAGGATATTTGTATATGTACCTGTGTTTGGATTGTGACGTGTCACAAGATCAGAGGTAGAATTTTACAGTTGTGATGTCATGTTGGTACTCACAAAGTTTTGGATTTTGGATCACTTTGAATTTTGGAATTTCTTTTTTTATTTTTTATTAATTTTAAGAGTAAACTATATTTGTTTGTTTGTTTATTTATTTATTTATGGTATTGGGAATTGAACTCAGGACCTTGTACTTGCCAGGCAAGTGTTTATGCCTCTGAGTTGTATTCCCAGCCCTGAATTTGGATTTTCATCGAGTGATGCTCAAGCAGGATCTGGGTGAATCACAAAATCACAATCTGAGGCAGATCGAGTGAGCTGCCATTAACCAAAGAGGGAGCATGAAAAAGGAGCTGCCTTGGACTAGCTGACTTAATCTTACCTGTGATCTTCACCATAGACTTAAGGATCATTATATCAACATAAGGCTTCCAGAAAAGTTGTCCACAACCCAAAATAATTGAAAACAGATACTTACAGATATTTGTACACCCGTGTTCACAGCAGCATTATTCATAATAGCCAGAGGATGTGTCCATCAGTGGATGAAAGAATAAACAAAATGTAATATATACACACCACTGAATATTACTCAATTTAAAAAAGAAGGCAATTGCGATGTATGCTACAGCATGAGTGAATCATGAAGACATGGTATTAAGCTAAATAGTCCTATCTCACAGAGACAAATCTTGTATTACTCTACTCATTTGAATATGTAGCTAGTTTCTGAAATGGTAACAAATATCTCAGGTAATCAATGTAATTTTGACTCATGGTTTTCGACATTTCAGGCTGTCATTGATTGGCCTCATTGTTGGGGCTCTGTGGGGAAGCAGCACAGCAACACAGAAGTGTGTGGCTAAGGAAATGTGTTAACCTTGTGGCTCAGACATAAAAGAGAAAGGGGTGGGAGACCCCAGTCCCCTTTGAGGACACCCTTCTGGTAACCTATACCTTCCCACCAGGTCCCACCTCTTAAAATTCTCACCAGCTGCCCATAGTGCCATGCAGAAAATAAGCCTTAATTGATGGGCTTTGAGGGACCTTCAATTGATGGGCTTTGAGGGACAGCAGCAGAAAAGAGAATGGTGGGTAAATGGAGAGGAGAGAATAGAGAATTATTGTTTAATAGATGGGTTTCAGTTCAGGAATATGAAAAATTCTGGCACTGGGAGGTAGCAGGACAGTGCAGACATGCTTAATGCCACTGAATTATACACCGAAAAGTGATTAAGGCAACAAATTTTGTGTTTGTATATTTTACTACATTTTAAAAAAATTATTGAAGAAGCACAACATTGGAAGATTGAGTTGGGACAATGGCTCCCTGGCTCCACCCCTACCCCAGATGTCCCTCTGAATTGGGGGTAGTTTATTAAATTACATATTTAACTCATACATAAGCACCCATTTAGTAATTTATTTTGCTGTTTGGACTTTTGAGTAAAAGAATAAAATAGTAACTTCCTCATGTTACTTCCGAGAAAACAGCCAAGCTTTGGTATTCTCAATTTCTGCACTCCTTTGTCGCATAGGGAGGGCTCCACTTTTCTGTGTTTTAAAGGCTGCAGAAAAGGTCACCACTCCCCCAGGTCTTCAGTTGGTGATTCTGGACCCACCTAGGCAGAGTCAGGAGCTGGAGCAGAGAGATGCAGCCCTAGGAATGTGAGCTGGGGACTTGAAGGGCTGGGGAAAAACAATACTAGCAAGGGGTACAAGGTGAGTGGAATCTGTGGGCTCCAGTTTTGTACACACATGGGAGAAGGAAGAGACCATGACTGCAGCAAAGGTTTTGAAGGAGAATCTGTCCAGCAGGGCGGTGCCTCACACAAGCATACCATGGTAGCCAGAGCAGAAAAGGGACCCCCATTGTGTCACCTATGGTGATGGCAGCAGCAGGTGGCAAGAGAGTCAACATGCAGGACAACCAGGAAAGGTGAAGAAGCAGCCAATGGCTTTATTTTAGGCCATCTAGGTTTCCTGTTCTTGTGCCAGTTCCTGGAGGAGGGGAGGCAGCCTGGGCTTAGGGGGATGGGAAGGAATTCTCCTTTGGAGTCAGATGAGATTTAGGAAGGAAGAAACAAAGACAGGCCACTGCCTACACCTTTAGCAAATGCCTTGGAACGCACCCCAGCTCTCACAGTTGTACACATTTTATTCCGCATCCAATCTGTGCCTTCTATTGTCTCCTGACACTGTGGGACACTTAAGAAGATGCAGCAGATGGCTGTGTGTGGCAATAGTGCCCCTCCCCGCTGGCAGAGTGATTTTCCTAACATCCTTTTTCTTTCATCCAAAAATGATTTTGTATCAAAAATATTGGGATTTTATATTACAGAAAAGTATAAGATGATCTGAGGATGTGGCTCAGAGATAGGGCACTTTCTTTAACACACATAGCACTCTGGGTTTCATTCCCAACACCACAATAAGAAAAAGTGAAACCTCCAGAAACATTGCTGTTAGCATTTTAATGTATTTCTTTCCAGTTTTTCTGTGTTTTGCTTAATTTTTCCTTAGCTAGAAACCTCACATTTCAGGCCTGACTGCCCCTGTGCCAATGAACTTGTATCAAATCTTTCCAAACCCCAAGTTCTCAGTCCATATGTAGCAGGTTCAGTTAGGAGTCACCATCGGTCCCAGGATAGAGAGAAAGCTAATCTCCTGTAAGAGACACAAACTCTCCCCCCTTAGCAGGTTCATCACCAATCACACCAAATCCTAATAAGAGCACGTTAGAAAGCATCAAACTGGTTCCAAAAGCTTACTGAAACTTGTCTGATATTTATCTATAAAAGAAAGATTGTAAGTGACGGTTAGGTTCTCAGGCCAACTTACAAAAATGAAGGGATCAACAATGTAAATTAGAAGTTGGCCATACCAGTGCTGAACACTGGTCCTTTTGCAGTCATTCTGAATTCCAGTTCTCACTGAGGCCCATCTCCCACTGTTACAGGCAACTGAGTTAGAAAAATATTATAGGCAGTCAGACCGGGCTGGGCTCTCAAAGGAGCCAGTGCAGAAGGTCAGATATCCTGCAACAGACACCTCCTGCTGTGGGCCAGATCTCAAGATAAAAGGCAAAACAAACGCACCCACATAGTTCCTAAGGATAACTATCAGGGATTGATATTCCAGTAGACCTCTATCACCCTGAGGAAGCCAGGAGTCCCTAACCCAAACCCCTGCAGAAAGAGTCACTGTTCCATATGCCTGTCTGCTTGCTATGTGACTTGCTTCCTCATTTGTCCCCAATTTAATTAATTTTACTTGAGCAATTAATCTTATTGGTTGACCATAGTTCTGCCCTCCTCATGCCCACCTTGTGAGTTCCCATCTTTTCCGCACCTTAGGCCTGCCTCACTCTGTGGTTTTGCTCTATAAAAGTCCCTAGAAAAGACAAGAGTCTTTGGCAACTCACTCAGGACCCCTTCTGTGTCTGTCTCTCTCTGTCTTTGTCTCTGTTTCTCTTTCTCTCTCTCTCTCAGACAGCAGCTTTTCTTCTCTCAATAAATATATTCTGCTCTTAACCTCCATTGTTCCCAAAATTCTTTGAACTCATGCATCTCGTAGGTTGGAGTTTCTTTCCTCTATGTCACTACGTCTGGGAATCCTCCCTCTTACTTTGGGTCCCTCTACATTCTAAGGTATATAGATTTTACTTCGCAGATGGCAACAAAGTGTCAAGAGCAAGGTGAGACTTGGAATGGCTTGGCATTATTTGCAACTTCTGTGAGTCAGAGTGGAAATCATGGGTTTCGGAGTCAGTCCCGACCCCAGTTCAAATCCCAGCTCCACTTCTCATCAGCTGTGTGAATCCAGGCAGATCACTTCATATTTTTTGCTCTTGGTTTTATTATCTGTAAGATGGGGATAAAAATACACATTCCTAAGGGTTTATGTGAAAATCAGATAACACAGGGCATCATTTCTCAGACTTAGTAATGACTGTACTGAAGATGCCCAAGTTGACTCAAATTTTTGTAATTAGGCCACAATGAACTGATTAGTATGGGAGGGAACGCATATGTTAATCCCTACATAGTGTTGCTTTAGCCATTGCACAGTGTATGTATATTTCAAAACATCATGTTCTATTTTATAATACACATATAATTTTTCTCAGTGAAAATAAATAAATTACAGCTGGTGATGATATCACACACTGATAAACCCAGCACTCAGGAGGCTGAGGTGGCAGAAGGCTTAGTTTGATGTCAGCCTGGGCTACATGTCAAGACTCAGTCTCCAAAAACCAAAAAATTAGAAAATTTATTTTTTGTTTTATTTGTGTGTATGTGGGTGGGTGGGGAGCTGGAGACTGAGCCCAAGATGGTACATATTCTAGATGAGTGTTCTACTACTGAGCTACACCTGCAGACCCTCTTGGCCTGTTTTGCAGGGATTATGGTAGCAGAGAGACAGCTCTGTACCTCCTCCTTAGAAAACAACAAGTTCTGTTGGCATCTCAGCCTCTAAGTTATTAACCTACATTGCCCACAGGGGTCAGAGAGTATTATGCAAAAAAGGGGGTTAGCTCAGCAGCAGAGTGCCTGCTTAGCAAGTAGGAGTCAAGAGTTTGATTCCCAGTACCAAAAAAAAAAAAAAAGAAAAGAAAAGAAAAGAAAGAAAGAAACAAAGAAAAAAGAAATAGAAGACTTCTGGAAACCAACCAGGCAAGGCATTTGCTGATTTTTTTTTTTTTTCACACTGCTTTACAAAGGCAGTAGAAGGTCAGTCAAGATGTTGTGTTTAGCTGATTTCAAAAATTTCAGCCAAATCAACAATACCAGAGAAGTACAGCGAGCAGTACAGGCCTGCGATCACCCACCAGAAGGAAAAGGATGGCGCTGAGCAAAATCTATGGCAGGGACACATTTGACATCCCACAGGTCCACCAACAGCCAGGATCAGGTCGGTCACTGTCAAAGGATTAATCCATGGCAAGGACACTCCTGACAAGCAAATGGACAAAAACAAAGCTATGGACCTTAAAACTCCATTTTTAATGACAGATCCAGACAAATCTCATGGGTAGGCACAGCCCACTCTTTCTATTGTTTAAAGTTCTTAATTCACTGTAAGCCACATCCCAGTGTACCCACCAGTTTCTTGTTAGCTAGTGATGATTGTGGGCAATTCCCAGGGAACGGGTGGAAAAAAAGGGGTGTCTGGGGCTCCCAGGAGCTACTAGAGAAGGCCTGGAGGGAACTAGTATGCAGCAGGGGAGGAAGGACAGTGGAGATGCTTCTCTGAGAGTGGACAAGTGACCCAAAGCAACACAGAAGATATTTCTTCCCACCAGGCTCAGACCAACTGGGTGTGACAGTGAAAGACTGCTCCAGGGCAGGACAATACACAGGGCTCTGGACTTACTGAGCCACTCGGCTCCTCAAGGTCAAAACTAACATGGCCCCATGGAGACATCCATCACGCTCAGGCTTGCTCTTCAGGAGTTGGGGGATGGGGTCATCATCCCTGACCACATCTAATCCATGCCAGACTGGGGAAGACGTCTTCTCTTCAGTGTCTGGTCCTGCCTAGCCCACAGTGGCCATCTGTCCACACTTGTTATTCGAAGTGTCCATGATTTATATACCTCCCCCATCATCTGTCCCATCCAATTGCCATTCCCATCACAGGCATCACGCTGCCTCTTCCATGAAGCAACAAAGTTTTGACTAAACTAGAACGTTGCCCTGAAGGCCTTTGTGGCGATATGCATGTATTATTTTAAAAAGTCCTACAGGAGCATGTTAAAAGGTCGCTAGCATGCACATGCCACAGAGTTGCTTTTTCATGGTGACAAAGGATGGGTTGCCTGAACAAGTGACTGAGGGCACAGGCAGGGGATAGTGAATTTGCATGAGGAGGAGACAGGGAGATGAGAGCAGTCTGCAGCTGGTGGTGGGCTTGCAAGGAGAGAAGAGCTTGCAGCAGTCCTGAGGGCCCAGAAAGGAAAACACGAACACTGCCTCCACAGAGAGATGTAAGCACATACCACCCTTGTCTGCCTAGCCCAACCCACTGTAAACCCCACAGGCCAGCAGTTCCACCTGCTGACTGCCAGGACTACAGGCCAAGGAGAAAAGAAAGAAGAGAAAGAAGCTTTATATTTTCTGTAGAGGCCAACCCCTCCCATTTTGCAGATGAATAAACTGAGACTCAGAAAGCAAGTTTCGGATTTCTTACAGACTTATAGGAACTTCTGGGCCTGTCTTAATTGATTTCTGGTATTATAAGAAAATCCCACAGACTGGGTAATTTACAGATATTAGAAATTGATCTCTCATAGTTCTGGAGGCTGAAAGTCTGAGATGAAGATGCTGGCAGGTTCGACATCTGTTGAGGGCCAGATCTTTGCTTGTGGCATGGTACCTTGAACGCTATCTTCTCCCATATGCCAGAAAGATAGAAAAGAAATGAACATCTTGACTCTGTTTTATAAAGTCATTAATACCATTCATGATAGCTCCGCCCTCCTGAGTTAATCACCTCCTAAAGATTCCTATCTCTTAATACTGTCACACTGGTGTCAAGGCTTAACATGAATTTTGGAGAAGCACATATAACTGTAGCAGGACCTGGCCTCATGAATTTATACTGTGGAAGGTACAAATGTTTAATGTTATTTGTGTTTCCTCATATTAAAGTGCTAGGAGTAAGACTGGGAATTCTCTGTGATTACCTCTGTTGTGGGACCCGCTACGGGAAGCCCCTCTGGACCCTGTCAAGGACTGGAGGAGTTCACATTTGTGATTCCAGGGAAACATTCTTGGAATTTCAATAAGTAATTTTAATCTGCCCCTTCCAGTATAATCCATGGTAAGAATAAAGATATTACAGCATATTTGTACTTGTGGGGAGCCAAGGGAGACCTAAACCCAGCTAGAGCAATGGCTAAGCAGAACAAGGGCCTTGACTCAGGACCAAGCCTCGGTTTTATTCATTTGTGAAGGGAGGGATGACTGTGAGAAAGGCTGGAAGAACCTGAATGCTGGAGGCTGGGCCAGGTAGGAGGCCAGACAGCGCTCTGCAGTATTAAAAGCAAGCATTCCCTGTCATCCTAGTGTTTTGTCTGTCTGTCTGTCTGTCTCTCTGTCTTTATTTCTTCTGTCCTGGGACTCAAACTCAGGACATCCTGGACTACATAGCAAGACCCTGTCTCAAACAAAGCAGCAAAGAAACAAACAAAATAAACCACAAAAGCAGACATTCGAGCAGAAAGTCACATGATGCCACAGGATATGGGAGTGATGCAGTCTCATGTCAAGAAGCCGGTGGCCACACCAAAAGCGAGGAGACAGAAGTGGGACAGATCTTTCCCCAGCTCTCAGCAGGAGCCACTTCTGCCCCTCCCTACATCTTGATTTCAGGCTCCTAATTATCATAACTATGAAAGAATGAATTTCTGATGTCTTATGCCATACACCTTGTGCTAATTTGTTAGGAAGTCCTAGGAAATCAATTCAGCTGCCTTGCATAGAAATGGATCCTCAAAAAGAATGAATTGGGTGTGACTGTAACTGAAAGGTAAGAAACCAGCAAAAGGGCCTAGCCCCTGTCTAAAACTGGCAAATAGGTACTTCATGTGACATCAGTCTTCTGTAGTTTGCCCATGGTAGACATGCCTGATGGGTCCTGACCCTCCTCCCACAGGGCCAGGTTAAGGTTGTGTGGAAGTTCTTACCACTGGCTCCGGCTGTCAGGAAGGTCAGAGGTTCCGATCCCTGTTTCAAGGCAGGCTTCAACGCCCTTTGAACGCCTCCTTACTCTAAAATTTATGCTTTCTCAAACTGGGCGTGGGTGCGTGCAGAGGTGCACGCCTATAATCCCAGGACTCAGGAATCTGAGACAGAAGGATCATTGGCAGTTCAAGGCCAGCCTGGACTGCCTTTCATAGCCCTGTCTCAAAAAGACAAAAAAAAAAAGAAAAAAAAGTTCATGCTTTCTCTAAATTTTTAGGAGCACCAGGTGACTGCACCATTAGAACAGTTGCCGGGCTGGGAAAAAGAATGAGAAAGAGGAGGAGGTGGTTGTTAGGAGAGAGCAAGGCCAGAATGACCCGGGAAAGTGCATTTAGTACTTGTTTTGTCCAAAATCTGAGCCAGCAGGCTGCAACTGGCAGCATTTAAAGACAAGGGCAGGAGAATCTAATACAAGTCTGGGTTCATGTGTGGCCAACCTATTTTCCTTTCAAGAAAAAAAAAAAAAGCTACACAACACTGCAATCTTAGCAGAGCTGTTTGTAGAAATAAAGAGCTGTGCAGTGCAAGTCTGGAAGCACGGGTTTGGATTTGCAGCGGTCTCCGGATGTGCACTCTGAAGCCTGTGTTTACCCCGAGCCTGCTCTGCGCGGTGAGGGATGACTACATCAGGGCTTTTCCTGCCAACGTTTGTCTGCCATCCTTCCCTCTCGCTGCTGCTCTACTGACACCAATCTCAAATGAACTTTAAATAAAGACGTGTCTCTTCATTACGCCCACTTAGCCTGCTGCCGCGTGTCTGCTGTCACATTTCCGTCTGTCCTTGGATCTTTGGAATGAACTGCCTCTGACTTTATCAGACCTTCTGTCTCTTCGTCTGTTATCTTCCTGCCCTTCACACCACTGGCACAGTGATCCACTTTCAACCAAGAGTTTGCTGCTAGTGGCACCTCCCCCACTCACTTCCTACCACCCTGGTATTTGCATTGCATACATATGCAGATTGACAAAGGAAATGCTTCCTTATTCTGCTGAGAATTCACAGTGGGGAGGCTGGGGACTGGCGGGTTTGGTTTGCACAGATTGTTACCGCACCAAGTTTTGCTCCTGGGTTAGCAAGCAGGAGCATCCCCAGGTGTGTGCCTGCCTGCTCTGCTCTTCCTCTTCCCTCTCTTGGCCTTTCTCCATTTCTTTCTTCATTTCTTCTTTTTTAAATTTAATGGGGGTAAAATATACATAACATAAAGTATATCACTTAAAAACATTTTAAGGATACTATCTAGGGACAGTAAGTATAGTCACAATATTGTACAACCATCCTCACTATTTCCAGTAATTTTTCAACATCCCAAATAGAAACGCTGTACCCATTAAACAAAAATTCTCCATTTCCCCTATTCTACACTGGACTGTGGGGCTCTATTGCACCAAGTGGGCTTTGAGTAGGTATAAATGTATATTACAAATTCCAGGGCAAATGCTCAAAAAAGGTTTTTAAAAAAATTATAATTTAGGGCTGGGGATGTAGTTCAGTGGTGTTGCACCTGCCTGGCAAGCATGAGGTCATGAGTTCAATCCCAGCACACACAAAAAATTATATATGTATAGTTTAATGTTAAGAAAGGAGAGAAAATAGTCATTCAGTTCAATACCACAATGGCAGAAAACAGAGTGAAAGACAAAAATAAGAACAAAGGTCAGGCACATGTGTATAATCCCAGCACTCAGGAGTCTGAGGCAAGAGGATCTCTTTTTCATATTCAGCCTGGACTACATAGCTATCCAAACAAACAAAATAGGGAGAAAAAACAAGAAAAATTAATAAAAAATAGGAAAAAATAAGGTAATACTAATCTAATCATATCAGTATCTCTTTAAATGGCAATAGCCCAAATAAACAAAAGACAGAGATTGTCAGAGTGAATCAAAAAGCAAGACTAAACTATATGTAGTCTATAAGAAACTTGTCTGAACTATAAAGATACAGAGAGGTTAAAAATAAAGGAACAGAGAAAGATTTATCATGTTAATACTAATCAAAAGAAAGCTAGAGTGGCTACATTAATTTCAGACACAGCAGGCTTCAGAGCAAGAAAAATTATCAGTGACAAAAAGAAGTATCATATGATTACAGGGTCAGCAATCTCACTCAGGTTATCAGCTGAACTTTGTTTATGAGCATCCCCACCTTCAAGGGGACAGTCCCCTTTATGACATGTGCAGCCCAGTTCCTCCAGGAAACACTATCTGCTATATCTGATGCCTGCAGGTGGAGTATAGTGCAAACACAGGTGACACACATGCTCCAGTTCCGACATCACCTCTGCCAGACACGTGGCTCTGGTGGGTGACCTCACAAATCTGGCCACTACCTTTCTTGATACTAACCTGTACACACTACTGCTCTTACAGATTTGCTGTGTAGCTTGTGCAAGACAGTGGGATTTGTTTTTTGTTTGCTTGTTTTTGTTTTTTTCCTTTTTATCAGTACCAGGGCTCGAACTCATGACTGCCTGCTTGCAAGGCAGGCGGTTATGCCACTGAGCTAAATCTCCAGCCCTGACAGTGGGATTTGTAAAGCTCAGTATGGTATGGAGGATGGCTGTTGTTTACCTGGCCCAGGGAGATCAGACTTCACATGGCTTTTTCCTATAGTTGATAAGTTTTTTTTAAGGTGACCTACAATCCAAAACAGAATTATTTTCTATTTGTAAACTATTTCTATTACGTTTGGACTTAGAAGTCTCTTCCGAGGGTGGGGATTTAGCTCAGCGGCATAAGCGCCTGCCTTGCAAGCAGGCAGTTGTGAGTTCGATCCCTGGTACCATTAAAAAATGAAAAAGACAAAAAAAAAAAAAAGAAGTCTCTTCTGAGCTCTGCAGGTGAGCTATGATGATATTAACACAGACCTTTTCCTCAGCAACATGATGGGACTGGGCAGCATGTACATGAGGAAAGGTTGGCAGGACAGCCATGTGGGCACACACTGAGGGTGCCCTGTAGGTCACTGAAGCCCAAAGAGGACAAGTAGGGCAAGAAAGGTAAGTAGATGAGTGAGGCTCATGGTATATGAAGGTTGCAGGACTGTGGAGGCAAAAGAAGCTCACAAGGAGACTGACAAGGAATAGTCATGTAGGTCTGACGAAGACAACTGGTTGCCTCAGCATCCCCTCTCCTTGTCTTCTGTGGTGCTAGAATTTTGAGGTCTGTGGATGGATACCCAGCTAAAGACCACATTCTCTAACTATTGTAGTCAGTGGTTTGCAAGGGAGTAGATTTAATACAGGACACATAATTTATAGGATTACTTTATAATATTCACAAGAGTCAAATGCAGAAGAATGCAGGAGATCTGTCCATTAGAGACACAAAGAATCCAGCTGAGGGCCTGGATCCCATGGCAATGTCCTACATGAGTCCTACTGAAGACCTAGAGCCCATGGCAATGCCCTGAACTCTTGTGATCCACAAATGAGCCCCCAAACTTGAGTTTAAAAAATGAGGCAAAAACATTTTAAAAAGCGCTGATTTATTTTACTCTGGGCCCAGCAACACAGTGCAGTAGGAGATTGCAAAAGCTGTGTGTCTCCCTCCTCTACACTTGCCGCCCCTCCAGTACCTATTATAATTTACAAAGTAAAGGTCATGGGTGAGGATCAGGAAATGAGAAATTTCTTGATCTGCTAAGGAATGAGGAAGACCTTTGTTTCCTTTAGGAGAGGACAGAGAAGTCTCACAGGAATTTACAATTCTTTACAGAGGAGAACATTGACGAACATATCAATTAGGTAGGTTACCCAGAGGGAGAAGGAGGAAGGGAGAAGGGGGAAGGGAAAAATGCATATACAGAACAGCGAGGGTCACTTTTATAGGTTGGTATAATACAAATATAATGAAGTTCTTTTTTCTAGTGTACAACATTCCCCACTGATTTTAGTTAGTGAGTCAAATCATTGACTCATAAGTATCTGTTTATAACCTTGTGTGTGTCTTTAAAATCATAAGCTTTTAAGATCTTTGATATAGTTTATCAACTTGTTTACAATATAAGGCCCAATAGGAGGATTAACAAAGGTCTTGCAGCTGTCATTATTAAAGCTCTTAACCAAAAGGAGAAAGAAAACCAACATTTAAATTTACTGTTTCATCATATAAGTAACAATTTTCTTTAAAAAGTCAGACAGAGGCCTCCTCAGGGTCTCTATAAGGGAGAACACAAGATTATCAGTTACATTTGGCAATATTAAGCTTTAAAGAGTCCTTGGAAGAAATGACAGTCCCTTATCCATAGGTTGATCGCCTTTGGAAGCCGGGACCTGCTTGAAGTGGAAAAGATCCAGGCAGGCTTTCAGCTACTTTGACAGCCTATTGCGGCTCAAGAGATTTACAGTGATGTTGCTTGATAAGGACTGGTGGTGTCTCAGGTTCTACAGCAGGGCATTTGTCCTCGTCGAAATAACTGGTGGATGGAAGTCTGCGGCGGGGGGGGGGGGGGGACTTAATAAGATCTTGATTAGTTAAATCAGCTAATTTTTCTTTAGAAACCTTAAGGATAAGAGGAAGAGGTCTCTCATATAAAGCCTCAAAAGGGGAAATATCTGCGACATAGTGTGATAACTCGGACCCCAGAATAAAATCCAAGGACAAGAAATTAAAATTTGGGGAGCAAAAGCTTTATTTTAGGCCAGGCCTGGTGTCACAGTCTCCAGGAGTCAATTTGAAGACTGTGCGCCTCACAGCTGAGGGATTAAGCTTTTAAAGCTAAAAACCACAGGAATGTTGTAATCCCTGACACAGTTAGATAGCATCTGGGCCTTATAGAACATCCTGTAATTTCCTTGAAGTTAAGCATTTCTTAAAGAACAGCATGTTTTATTACAGATAGTCAGATGAGGGGTAGGGGAGGGAGTTCAGGAAACTGATACCTAGGGCTTTTACAGCTTTCTCAGGAAATTGAAACTTAACCTAGAAAGATAGGAAGGGAAGGGGGGTGCTGAGCGGTGCTTACAGAACAGAAATGAGGCGCAAGGGTTAAAACTAGGCTATAACACATAGGGGGTACATCGCACACGCGAAGGGGCAAAATGAAAGAGACTCACCCAGTTCTTGCCAGTTTTTAAGGCCATTAGTAATTATTGTCTTTAAAATCTGACTTATCTTTTTTTACTTGTCTTGAAATTTGAGGCCGGTAAGCACAATGGAGTTTCCAAATGATCTGCAAAGCTTAGG